GGGATATTTATTGACCTAAAAAAAAGCATTTGATACAATTAGTCATGAACTATTAATGGATAAGTTGGAGAAATATGGGATCAGAGGAATGGTTTGGAAATGGATCAGAAGTTATTTGACACACAAAGGCGTCAATTTGGGAAGTTGGGTGAATACCAATCGAGTGAGCTTGATATTGTATGTGGAGTGCCTCAGGGCTCTGTTTTGGGACCTAAATTATTTATATTATACATTAACGATATATGTAAGGTTTCTGAAATTGTCAAAGTGGTTTTGTTTGCTGATGATACTACCATTTGGGCATCTGATGAAAACCTACAGCAACTCAAAACAGTAGCATAGACAATAAAGACAGTAACACTAATGAAATAAAAGTAGCTTGTTATATTTCTAGGAGTATGTGGGAATGTGCGTGGCCTTGGCATCAGCTATCTGGTTTAAGTTAAAAGTGGTTAGAAATGGATTCCATGTGTCAGTAAAGGTTGACATGTTATTCTTATGGGTGGATGATATTTTCTCTAGTGTGATGTATTCTACAACCCAAAGTACATTGTGAACAAGTATCTGTATCAGTAAAACCCATTTTAAACATTTTACCTTGTGTGATGCGAGTCCTGTGAATAGTCTTATATTGTATAAGCTGTAAGTTTATATTGGTAGTCATGGAGAAGCTTTTAAAATCTCGGTCCAGAGGTCGAGGCTCATGGGGAGCAACAAATCCTTTTAAATTTAGTCATTGGCATTGTCATTGTTCTATCTGTATTTGACATTCCTTGGGGTTACCAACCACCATTACTACCTTTTTGATTGCAGAGCTCCCTGGTTTGGTTCACAGCTGTGGCACATTCCCTGATGAGCACTCTACACTACAAAAGACTCTGTTTGCTGCTGTACGCCACCACGATTGGCCTTGCTACACCAGTAGACTTCTACTCCTACTCCTCATGAGATTTATCCTGTGGACTCCTGGTAGCTGTTCTTTTTTTTTTTTTTTTTTTTTTTTTAGCAGAGGGGTGTAGTTGGTTAAAAGGTTCTGACAGCCTGGGGGAAATATTAATGCCTAAATATTTAATGTTGCCAGTGTGAAGTAGTAGGGGACAGTCTGGAGCTGCAGAATCCCAGGCATCTTCAGAGAGTGGCAATATGGTGGATTTATTACAGTTTATTATATAGTTAGAATGGATTATTTGGTAGTTAATTTGTGGTAAAGTTTTCATTTTGACTGTAGCAATTGGGCCAATGAGTGAGAGTTTGAGGTTGGACCAGCATTTGAGATCATTAAGGTTAAAAATTTGGGTTGGGTTTTTGTTGGGTTTCAGCGGGAGTGTCACGGCAGCCTTATTCATATATGTCGGTACTGTGGAGGTGGTTTTAATTTCTGTAGTAACTCTGAGAAATAGTGGTGATAAAGTCTGCCAGAATTGTTTCTAAAACACGGGAACTCTATCGGGTCCAGGTGATTTATTTAGCATGAATTTCAGTGTTTTATGGAGTGATAGGGGCATCTATGGTATCGGTTTGTTCTCTGGATGGTGTTTGTAGTTTTATATTGTTTAGGAAAATATCTAATTTGGATGGATTTGGTTTGTGATCAGAAGAGTATAGTTTGATATAAAAGGCTTGAAATACATTGTTAATATCCTGTAGATTATGAACAGTTTTACCCGCAGTCAAGTATGGATGTAATGATTGCCTTTTCTTTTTTACGTTGCAGTTGATTTGCCAAATATTTACCTATTTTGTTGCTGTATTGAAACTGTTCATAGTTGAGTTGTTGAATTAGGAATTGTGCTTTGTTTTTGTTTTTTTTTTGTTTTTTTGTATATAAAATACTTTCAAGTTGAATTTTGAGGTGGTTCAATTCATTCTGTATTTGTTCAGTAGGGTTGTTTGAATATGATTCTGTCAGTTTTATCTTTAATCCTAAATTTTCCAATTCTTGTTTTTTTCTTGTGTGATGAATATGATATTATTTTTCCTCTAATTACAGCTTTTCCTGTTTCTCATAGTAGAGAAGGTGATGTTCCTGGAGAGTCATTCATCTCCAGAAAGAACGTCCACTCTTATAACTGTCAAAGTCTGCATTTTGAAGCAATGATGCATTAAAATACCATCTTTTAAAGAGTTTGATAGGGATTTTAGTGTTTAATTTGAGTAAAATAGGAGTCACTGATTTATAATTGAATGAATTGTGGTTTCTGTTACTTGTTTGGTTAGTGAATTGCTTATGAGGAAAAAGGTTGATTCGCAATAATGATTGATGGAGGGAGGAAAAATATGTCTATTCTCTAGATCAGGGGTGATCGCAAAGGTAGTGTTGGTAGATCGTGTGCCATTCAAAAATAAATTAGAGCGTAAAACATGTGCCAAATGTTAACATGCGAATGGTCAGTGTGACGATTCACTATGGCGACCCCTAACAGGAAAAGCTGAAAGTGACAATCATTCATATATAGCCTATCATCCATCCTCCCTATGGCATTTGCTACTTGATTGACATGCAGGGCAGCCAGTCTGAGATCTCGTGTTTTCTGACACACAAGTCACCAAACATGCAGTCAACTGCACGAGCTACTGCAAAACTCCAGTGAGCGAACTACCTTGTCAGCCTTCAAATTAATTTCTACTAAAGGGTATAAAATGAGTGGGGGAGCTGAATCAAGTAAGAAACCGAAAACATTCCATGCGGAATGGGAGGTGGACTTTTTTTTTCCGCGACGATATATTCGAAATGCGTCTGCTTGATCTACCAATTTACCATCACTATTCCGAAGAAGGCAAATGTGGAGTGGCACTTTCAGACTGTTCATATGAACTACGACACTCATTCATACATTGTGTGTGTGTGTGTGCGCGCGCGTAGTATTTTTAGTGTAGGTCGATCATTTTGACTTGGTCATATGAAAAATAGCTCGCAAGGCGAAAAAGTGTGGGCACCCCTGCTCTAGATGATGGATTATTCATTCTCCAACTATCCCCAAACCTGTAATAATTCATATATTGTTTTATGACTTCTGTGGATTGCCAGTTTGTTGTTGGTGGAGGAGGAGTTGGATCGATCATTTTTAGGGTCTATAACAGTATTAAAGTAGCCGTCCCTGGTAGGCTAGTGGTTTATAAGATCTAAAAAGCGTGTCTGGGAGCTGTTTTGGGGGAATCATGCAATTGGTCAGTTCTCTCCTGTCACGGTCAGGGGGAGACTCAAAGGTGTACAACTCCTAATAGATTGAGCTACTGTAGACTGAAATTCAGCAGCGCTCTGGGTTCCAGTTGGGAAGCAGTGATGTAATTTAACTGAAGAAATATATAATGTTGTTTTACTAACTCTTTCTAATGCAGTGACTGCCTTCTCTCTTGTAGGTGATAATTATGATGCAGGTTTTCCCTGGCGAATTTTGACTCTAATCTCCACCTCATGACAGGACCTTGGATGTTAAATTTCTGTCACCACCTGACTATTCCACTGTCTGCCCACTGTGTAATATTGTGAGCCATGCTGGATACAGCGGAATAATGACTAACCTGGGGAAAATACACCAGTTTTTTAAAACTCCCATCAAAAGAGTGCCATGCCATGAGAAACTGAGCAGGGAAAAAGTGGAAAGGAAGTGAGACTGGGGGCTGAAGTACTTGTTTGGTGAGAAAAACTAAAGCCACCCTATTAGCAGGTTGGCAGCAGCTGAGACAGCCAGGCCTTGAGGATGACTAGCTTGTTCAGGCGTAGTAGCAGCAATGGAGCCTCCAGAAGCAGTGGGAGTGGTGGTGATGGTGGCAGTGGACAGGGGCAGCTCAACAACAGCAGGCCAAATCAGCAGGTCAGACGCTTGGAGTTCAACCAGGCTATGGAGGACTTCAAGACTATGTTCCCATCTATGGACTATGAGGTGATTGAGTGTGTGCTGCGCTCCAACAAAGGAGCTGTGGATACCACCATTGACCAGCTGCTCCAGATGAGCATTGATGGACAGAGCTCAGATGACAGCTCAGACTCTGATGACAACATCCCACCAGAGGTCAGGGAATCTAAGACTGTGTTCACTATATAGGCCATAATGCTCCCTTGCAGTTTTTTTTTTTAAGATCTAAACTTTATGTATTGGCATTCACTTAGAAACATGAATGTTTGCAAGTGATATGTATGTGGCTCCGGTATGAACACTGGGACACTTCAAAGAGCAGATGTTCTTGTTTTTAAGCCATTCTGTAATAGATTTATCTCAGTGTTTAAGGCTACTCTCCAGGGGCAGCAAGGCAATCCCAAATCATGGTGCTCCCTTCACTGTACTTAAATGTTGGGATGAATGAAGCACTGCAGAACTGTAACATTCAGGCTTTTTATCAAAAGGATTTTTATGGCCTTAAATAAAAGATCATATTGTATTTGACTATGATCTTAAGATGGAATTCTGGAAAAATTACAAGTGCATGAGGACAAGGCAGGTTTGCACATTTAATGAAACAAAGTGCTCTCTCTTCCTCCCCAGATTTTGGATCGAACACTGGAACCTGAAAGTTCAGATGAGGAAGCACCTCCAATCTACTCTCCACCAACATATGATATGCACGTTTATGACAGGAAATACCTGGAAACTCCACCAACACCCCCACCAAAGTAAGCAAGAATGTCTGGATAATAGACATAAGCAGTGGTGGAAGTAGTACTTGGATCTCTCAGTGAAGTAAAAGTAGCAATACAGCAGTGTAAAAATACTCTGTTATGAGTGAAAGTCCTGCATTAAAAGTGTTACTTAAGCAAAAGTACAAAGTATAAGCATCAAAACATACTTAAAGTATTAAAAGTATTCATTATGCAGAATGGCACATTTAATGTGAATGTATATCATATTTTATTTTCGCTGATGCATTATTGTGTACATAACGTATAATGTTCCAGGTGGTGCTGGGTACTTGGTGAATTTTCCACCAGAGATCAATAAATACTTAAAGATTATATAGTAATTTTTGTATTGATCTGGTTCTGAAAAATAACTAGCAATTTAAAATTATAAAATAAGTGCAGTGGAGTAAAAAGTACAATAATTGTCTCTAAAATGTATTGAAGTCAAAGTACGAAGTAGTACAAATTGAAAATACTTGAGTACAAGTACAGATACATCATAATTGTACATAAGTACAGGACTTGAGTAAATATACTTAGTTACTTTCCACCACTGGAGCTAAGGAAGCTTATTTTACTGATTATACAATTATAAGATAGGCGATTTTTTTCCAGTTTGAGCTTTTAATTAACAAAATCCATGTGGCTCCGAGTTATTAAATAGATAAAAGATTTGCAGCTGGAAAAAGTAATCTAGCCCACCTACTGGTGCCTCAAGGGGTAAATGTTTTTGCTTCTGATTTAGACTAGTAGAATCAGAATCTGCTTTATTGGCCAGGTGTGTCGGACACACGAGGAATTTGACTCTGGTACATCGGCTCTCAATATGTATGTACATATTCCCATGCAAGGGGCAAGTAAACAGTTGACCAGCATAAGGCTGGGTAATATAACAAAATAAGCAGTATTTACACCAACAAACAGTGCAAACAATGCAAAACAAGCAGTATAAACTGGCAGTAAACAATGCAGAGGAATACTCATTGAAATGAAATAAATAGAAATAAAAACAGAATACTTAAAACTAGAGACCTGTACGAATCCTTATAATCTGTACGAGGTATATTTACAGGTATTGCACTGAGGGTTATGGTCTAGTCATACTGTCGTAGTACCAATGCTCTTGGCCATCTTGCTTTATACACTGCTCAAAGAAAATAAGGGAACACTTATCACAGTACAACACCAAGTCAGTTAAACTTAAGGGATTTCAATTTGTCTATTTAGGAAGCACAAGTGATTGTGAATTAGTTTCATGTGCTTTGGTGCAAATGGAAGTGACGTGAGGTGCAGTGGAGAGGCAAAAGCAAGACAACCCCTAGAAGGAATGATTTTGCATGTGGTGGCCACAGTCAGATGCTCTCTCCTTATCCTTCCTGCCTGATTCTTCTCTGGTTTTGTGTTTTGCTAGTTTCCTTGTCACTACTGGTAGCATGAGGCATTACCTGCAGCCCACTCAGGTTGCACAGGTAGTCCACTTACTCCAAGATGGCACATCCATATGTGTAGCAGCCAGAAGGTTTGCTGTATCACCAAGCACAATCTCAAGAACATGAAGCAGATACCAGGAGAGTGGTTGTTACACCAAGATAGCTGGACAGAGCCATAGAAGGGCAACAACCCAGCAGCAGGACCAGTATCTGCTCCTTTGTGCAATGAGGAACACTGCTAGAACCTTATGGCCATTGTTGACACAGGAGTGGTAGACTATTGGGGTGGAAGTTCAGAAAAGCCAGGAGGTAATGTCTTTATCACGGAATAACTGTCCATTTATATTGAGTTTTTTCACTGCAATGATTGCCTTTTTTCCTTTGTTTATCTGTGAATTGGGAAAATTCACAGATACTAAATTGGGAAAATTCACAGACGCTGACACCTTGGCCATAAATGCTTCTGAGTCATATTATGGGTTTCTGTGGTGAAATTCACACAACTTGGATGAGCCTGTGATTTGATTTTCAGTGTGTTTTTCAATTCAGCCCTGCATGGGTTGATGATTTTGGTTTCCATTGACTTATGTCATTTTGTTCTGAACGAAGTATACAATGTACATTACTAAAGGTTTTCAACTTGAATAATTTGTTTGTCAAGATCTGGTGTGTGATTTGTGTTCCCTTAATTTTTTTGAGCAGTGTACACTTTTTTGAGCAGTAACTGTCACTTAACTAGAGTGTATATATAATCAACTCATCGACTTATAATAGATTCCCTGAACAGCAAATGACTAATTTGTAATTTTGACTGATGCTCAAGTGCACATAGAGAAGTTGTTCATGAAAAGATGACTTAATAGAAAGACCTCTGCCTACACAGCTAGATTGCTTACTGTTGTGATGATTAGATCACATTATCTTTCAAGTGTAACTACGTACTGTATATAATTTGCTGAGCACCAGCAACAGTAGCCTCTGCAGCTACAAGTAGTAATCTCATGATGCTAGCATGTTAAATTCTTTTGAGCTCTGAGGCTAAGTGGGGAAAATTATTGGTAGCAGTGCACTCCAAGCAGCTAACAGCTTGTATGGCAAAAACATAGCCTATCAATAGCTAATGCAGTAAACAAAATCATCAAACCAGCAATCCTGCTGTCTACTTAAGTCAGCATATGGCTAATCTTGAAACATCTGTACTCACAGCAGGTTCTGAATGACAAGCAATAGAGAAGGGTCATCCCACTGTGGCAACTCGAGCCATAGCAACAGTTTGTGAGTTAATTCAATTCAATTTATTTGTATAGTGCCAATACACAACAACCATTATCTCCTGGCACTACATAATCAGGTCTTAGATCTTATACTATTATAAACCCCTACAAATCCCACCTTGTGCAAACACTTGGCAACAGCGGGGAGGGAAAAACTCCCTTTAAGGGAAGAAGCCTCTGACAAACCAGGATTTCTGGTGGGCAGCTTTCTGCCTCGACCTGCTGGGGAGAGTGGATGGAGGAGAAGGAAGAGAAGAAAAGCATCAGGACACAACAGGTTGTTAAGGTGCCATGAAGTATCAGAAGACAACATGTTAAGCACCTTTCTACCCTCCACTGTCCTACTAGGATAATACTATACAATTCTATGTAGTAACCACAATATACATATACACAGTACATATACAGCATACAGACACAGAGTACTGCATATGTGTGTTCATTTACAGTGAACTAACCAAAGTTTTGTGTAATTATGAGTGAGTGATTACCAATAAATATTTGTTGAGGTGCCAAGCTTTGGAGTGGAATAATTACACTTAATACACTAGTTTAAGAAATCAATCACAGAAGGAATGCTAGAACACTGACCACTAATCTACAACTACATGACCTTACTAAACTACTCTAATAACTGAATGAATGATGAGAATTTAAGCTATGGAGACAAAATCTAAAGACATGATTTTGTGACAGAGGTCTATAAGACAAATGTACAGTACAAATCGGCTGATTTGTACTTCTACACCCGCTTTGAGACCTCCAGCTACAGCACAGAGGAGGCGCACACACACCAAGACCACCCATGTCCTAGCCCACATCCAGAGCAGTATACTGGACACCCTGGACCCCCTGCAGTATGCCTACCAGCCCAACAGGGCCACCTCAGATGCCATCGTGGCTGCCCTCCACTATTCCCTTTCTCACCTGGAAAATGGAGACTCTTACATCAGGATACTCTTCAATGACTACAGCGCTGCCTTCAACACAGTTGTCCCCCACAAACTCACCCACAAATTGTCCACACTGGGTCTGCACCCCACCCTAATGTGACTGGCTTCTGGACTTTCTGACTGGCAGGCACCAGACTGTCAGGATTGGCAATAGGACTTCAGCCAGCATTATCACGAATATCGACAAACCACCCTACAGGAGGGAGGTGGCCGGTCTGGTGTCATGGTGCAAGGACAATAATCTCAGCCTCAACACGAACAAGACGAAGGAGATGATGGTGGACATGAGGAAGGAGAGGAGAACTCATCAGCCACTGTTCATCCGGGGACTCGAAGTGGAGAGGGTGAGCAGCTTCAAATACCTGGGCGTCCACATCAGTGAGGACCTCACTTGGAAACTTAACACCACACAGTTGGTCAAGAAGGCCAAACAGCGGCTGTACTTGCTGAGGAGGTTTGGCGTCCTTTGCAACTTCTACAGCTGCATCATTGAGAGCATCTTGACCAGCTGCATCACTGTCTGGTATGGGCCACAAGTGCCTGCGAAGAAAATCATCAGGACTCCACTGCCCTCTCTGCAGAGCATTTACCACCACAGGGAACGTAGGAAAGCTGTCTCCATTCTCAAGGACCCCACCGACCCTTAGCACGAACTGTTCATGGAACATGGTACTCAAAAAGAAAATTTACACACATGAACAATACAAAATTAATCAGATGTGCATGCTTCATTGATTGTGTATGCCCAATGTCAAATCAAATACCTAACATTCACATCTACAACTTAAATCTACACACATGAACAAAGAAAGCAAAAGAACATTACCTAGCTAATGCTACTGCGGGTTGTGGTTTAGGACCTCACATGGTGAAGGCCAGGGCTGAGGCCTACAGGATACAATTTAAAATCCTCTTGATGGTTTTCAAAGCTCTGAATGGTTTATCACCTTGCTACCTTTCTGAGGTTCTCAAACTCTACTGCTCCACCAGAGCCCTCAGATCCATCTAGAGCTTGTTTCTGGTTGTCCCTGCCTTGAGGAAAAAGTGTGTTGTATTATATTTTATTATTTTACTATGTTGTCTCATTTATTGTACCCTGCTATCTGCAGCTGTTGTTATTTTTAAGTGTGACTTATAAATAAATTGACATTGTTATACTGTCATTCCAAGTTAGGGAAAATTATTCATACTTAGTGGAATGTCATTTCCTTTCCAGTTTTTGTGATAACTGCTTTAGGGAGTGGAGTTGTGAGGCTAGCCTCCTGATTCATTGCCTTCTTTTTCATAGGAGCAACAGTATCAAGTGTTGAACATAAGGAGCAAGTGCCATACAGTATCTGTCTGTCTGTTCAGAAACTCAGCTGTGGTTTGCTTTTCTCCCCATCATGTTATAGTTGAATCTGGTGTTTTTCTGGTCTTGCTCTGCTGTTTTATCACTTTGTTCTTTGGCCTACTGACCCTCTGCCAATCTTACTCTTTTTCTAACTTAATACACAATATGGCAGCACGGTGGCACAGTGGTTAGCGCCGTTGCCTCACAGCGAGAGGCCCCACCTGGGACCTTTCTGTGTGGAGTTTGCATGTTCTCCCCGTGCTTGCGTGGGTTCTCTCCGGGTACTCCGGTTTCCTCCCACAGTCCAAAGACATGCAGCCTAGGTTGATTGGTGTCTCTAAATTGCCCATAGGAGTGCGTGCGTGCGTGTGTGTGGTTGTTCGTCTATGTGTTAGAGTTGCGATGGCTTGGCGACCTGTCCAGGGTGTACCCCGCCTTCGCCTGATTGCTGGCCGGGATTGGCTCCGGCCCCACCCGTGACCCCGTTCAGGGACTAAGTGGTAGAAAATGAATGAATACACAATATTGAATTTGATATTTGATCTTCCATTCCCCCTGATATATTTGTTGTGGTCATCATTGTTTTTGTGCTTTTTATGGTTTTTGGTGACTAGCAAATAATGACCTGACTCACTGCCTCGACCCACTGTGGTAATATGGAGTGTGTCATTGGTGTCTTTGCTTTTATGCCGAAATGTTGGTTCACATCTTGTTGCTTTGAGACAGCTAGCACATCTGGAAAGTGGTCATACATATGACCATTTTAGAAAATGTAGGATTTACCAGCCAAAATTAAGTAATGATAGGTTTGATAGATTATTTTTGTTTTTTGGCAATCTAACTTACGTATGTGACTTTTTGAACATTTAAAAGCTAAATAAATTCGCTTTAAAGATTGACAGTCAGCCTTTTTACTTGTGACAGTGACATTAATACAAATTGTCTCCTTTGTGAGAGCGCAATTTAAAAGATGTAAATCATTAACAGTAGTTTGATATAGCTAGGGGTTGTTCATGCACTTAATTGTGTTGGTAGAATAACTAATGTGTCCTGTTACTCCATGGGCTCTCATAGATTTGAAGCCCGGTCATCTCCAGGACGTCAGCAGGTCAGAAGCTATCGGAACTGGAACCCTCCTTTGCTAGGTAATCTCCCTGATGATTTTCTACGGATTCTGCCTCAGCAGTTAAACAGTACGAAGGTAAGAAAAAAGTCTAAAGATGTTAAATGGGTACATTTGAAGACTTAGTTCTTAATCAGTAATGATAATCAGTCCTCTGTGTACACCCTCTGTAGTATAAAGTGGTAGTGTGGCCAGAAATATCGTGATGGTAGGTTTTGCACATATATGTAATTGGGTGGCACATGAGAATAATTTAAATCTTTAAGTCTGAATTTAACCAGAAAAAAACAAGCCTATAATTGTGGCCTACTATCACTATAATAGTTTTTTTAATTCAGTTTGAGTAAAAATTGAATTGAAAAGTCTGAACTGGATTATCTGAGTTGCATTAAGCAGTTATGTGTCTTTGACAGAATGAATGCAAATAGAATTCACAATGCAAGTGAGATTCAGGAGTTCTCTAACTACAGCTTGTAATGGTTGAAAAGATAGGTTTACATTTCTGAAAGACAGCACCACAGCTTACAAATGTATGGACCCACTGTTTTATGTGACCGGGTAACCTACGATTATCCAGCCAGTGAAGCACCCTGGAGCAGTGAATGATCACCTCATCAATGCCGGAGTCCTCTGGAGCACATTACCTGCTTGTCTGCTGCATGTTATGTGATGTGGGTTAATGAGAGGATTCTAATGATCCATGATGTTATTGTCAGTGCTATGCTACTAATACTTTTGCTGCTAAATACTTTTGTACTTTTACTTAAGTAACATTTTTTAATGCAGGACTATTAACAGGGTGTTTTTACACTGTTGTATTGCTGCTTTTATGTAAGTGAAGAATCTGACTACTTGTTCCACCACTGGTTCTAAATGTACTTTAAAGGGACCCTGAGGTAACTGTGATTACTGAGAGAAGGGCAGTAGGCTCTGGTAAGCACAACCATGTTTGTCTGTCCCAATACCTCCTCCACCTTAGATTTCTCATCTTCATAGAAGTTCTGTATCTTGGTTACAGTGGTGGCTCTCGAAGGCAATTCATACATGCAGTCTTTGGACACAATGCTAATTACATGTATTTCAAGCAGACCCTGGTCCTCCAGAATGTTAATCGGCCTGCAAGATGTAGCCACCTATTCAGCTATTGCTGTTAAAAGTTTGTTGCTTGCAGAATTGTTCAGGTATCTCCATTGCAAACTGTCCAGCATGGTCTGCCTTTGGTGTGGAGGAGGAGGGTGTTTGAGACTCAGTGTACTCTGATGATAACTCAGTTCACATCGACAGCAAATGCAAATAGCTGATCGTGTTGAGAGAACCATTTGGCAGGGCTTAGAAGCTGAACATGTCATTCAAAAGACCTTTTCTTTATCTATTTCTGCTCATTTCAGTTGCTGCGTCGCTTCCTGATTTCACAAACTACAGGGAGGGCCAAGGATCATAATCACAGAATGTACATGTTAATTTTACGTCAAATAAAATTGTGGTGTTAAAAAGAATTTGCGTTAACTCATTATTATTTAAATTTGACAGCCCTAATAAGTGCATATGTTTATAAATACTCTTTTCCTGTTTTTGATTGCGCATATTTCTTATTTGAATGCACATATTGTTTATTTTTAAATTTTTTATTTTTATATTTATTTTAGCTGTCCCTGGTAGGCTAGTGGTTAAGGCGCAGCGCTCTCGCCGCTGTGGCCCGGGTTTGAATCAGAGTTGCGTCAGGAAGGGCAGGCGTAAAACACATGCCAAATGTCAACATGCGAGTCAGTGTGATGATTCGCTGTGGCGACCCCTAAACGGGAAAAGCCGAAAGTGACTTTCTATTTTTATATTTATTTTCATTGTGAGTTGCTATTCCCTGTTGCCTTACAAAACACATTGAGAGCATCTGTACTGGAGTGAAATATCTTGTATGTGGGCAATCGACAACTTGCTGGAGTGTGTGACGGTTGAACTACTACTAGAAAAAAAGAAAAATGTTGTAATAAGCTGTATTTATAGAGCACCTGGTGCCAGCATAGACCAGTTTAATGATTGGATGGAAGAAAATTACCTGACACTAAGTCATAAATTAATGTTCATATGCGGTGACTTCAATATAGATTTGTTAAATCCAAACAAGCACACAGGAACTGAGGAGTTTATTAACACAATATATAGATGTAGTCTATATCCAAAAATTACAAAACCAAGTAGAGTAACAAC